TCCAGGTACATGATGTCAGTTGCCCTTCCCTATCAAGCCCACAGGGCAAGGGAGATGATTCTCCCTGCTACTCCGCTCTTTTAAGACCCCACCTGGAGTACTGCATCCAGCTCTGGGGGCCCACTACAAGAAAGACATGATCCTGTTGGAGTAAGTCCAGAGGAGGGCCACGAAGCTGATCAGAGGGCTGGAGCACCTCTCCTATGGGGACAGGCTGAGAGAGTTGGGATTGTTCAGCCTTGAGAAGAGAAGGCTCCAAGGAGACCTTGTAGCAGCCTTCCAGTACCTGAAGAGTGCCTACAGGAAAGCTGGAGAGGGACTGTTTACAAGGGCAAGTAGTGATAGGACAAGGGGTAATGGCTTTAAACTGATGGAGGGTAGTTTTAGATTAGATATTAGGAAAAAAATCTTCACTGTGAGGGTGGTGAGGCACTGGAACAGTTTGCCCAGAGAGGTTGTGGATGCCTCATCCCTGGAAGTGTTCAAGGCCAGGCTGGATGGGGCTTTGGGCAACCTGGTCTAGTTGAAGGTGTCCCTGCCCAGGGCACGGGGGTTGGAACTAGATGATCTTTAACGGTCCCTTCCAACCCAAACCATTCTGACTGTATGATCAAGAAAATCTGATTTCTCATTCCTGAATGATTGGATAGTCGTTTATTCTCCTGCTTTCCTTAAACATGGCAAAAAGAGAAAAGAAAGCTCTGATAGCTTTCTTAACTCAGGTTAAGTGACACTTAAATTAACAAGATAAGTCTTTTAAGTGGGCAGAATGTATACCTAACAGCCTGCCCGTTCATGCTTTTCTAGTTGGTGAAGAGATGGCTTTTCCCCTACCTGTTCTCTTTCTATTTGATTATTTTATAACTGATTTTCAAGGTGATTAATTTTTTCATACTAGTGTTTTCTTGCTGATAGAAATATGAAGAAATTGAATCCTTTCTTCTTTTCTGCAATAATTTTGAAATGGTAAATGGTAAATTCCCTATGCATTGTGTAGTACAGGCACAAGCCCTTCTTGCCTTAGCTCCAGGAAGAATTATTTCTCAAAATCCTGTAGGATTCCTCAGCATCAGGACATGTAATTTGCTGGGCTCAATTTATAGCTTTAAATACTATTGACCTTTTAACAGTACCAGGAACTTTGTGCTTTGACTCGCGATAAAATACTATTGCAAATAACACAAGTCTTACATAGATTTTCTGTGCTTTCCCTGTATTCCTGTGTCAGTCAGAATCCCATGCATAAGTTGAATGATAAAATTCACTTAACTTGTTTGTGTATGATTTGATTTTGGGCTGGGTCAAAATAATTAATTACAGATGCAAGGTAATCATAAAACAAAAAAGGTGCTAAGTGAAGAGATTAGGAAACGATTTTTAAATGTCTTATTTTCCCAAACACCTGGGTTTTATGTTGGCTTAAACCATTTTGCTAAAATTGGTACTATCACTAAAATTCAGAATAGGAGTGAATGCCAGGTAGAGGTAGAAATTTTGCACAGTTTCACTATGAATGTTCAGAATTTGATAGTGTCATAAACATGATACAATGGCTTATAATAAGACAACAGCTATTAGCACTGCTTTTATCTACACTTAACATGGATTGCCTTCATTCCAAAGGGGATTGATGATGCTTCAGAGTCCCTTTTTTTTTTTTTCTTTTCTTTCTTTAGATGTATAGAATATCTCTTTTCTCCCAAATCCTTCAAACTTAACACTTTCTGAAAATTGACTTATGGATAAATGATTTGTGCTTATTTGATGTTTGCTAAAAACAATGCTTTTAGTTGCATTGTTTTTAATATATTGAATTTGGTTTAATATGTAACTTGTATTATTACTTGCTTTGAAAACTTGATGTGATTACTGTACATTCTCAGTTATTTAATTTTTGAGTCTAACAGTTATCTCTTTATTAGCCACCATGATGAGTTGCATACATTCACATGATGCGTATATTTTTACTATTAATATCAGTGTTGCTTATCGCATTTGTGAAGAGAAAAATATGTTCTTTCTGTAGGGTAAAAGCTGCTTTTATTTTAAGTCATTAATTAGCATATATAGAATCGCATTATTTATTTGCATGAAACCTGAGGAGAAATCTTATGTAAAGTATATCCCCCAAAACTCTGTTATCTAAATATCTGAATCTTAATTTGATTGCTAGGAGGTAAATGGGCCTTGTCGATTTTAAGCATAAAAAGCTCCTACTGAAATGAAATTGAAAACTGAGCCAGATAATCTGTTCAGGAAAACTAGTATATGTCCAAAACTGTGATGAGATGTAGCTTAAGGCAGACTCCTTGTTCCAGCAGGAAATGTGCCAGAGGTCTCATCTATAAAATAGTGGTCTGATGCTGACAGGAGTCATTCCAGCGATTCTTTGAGTTTTTTTCAGTTCCCCTCAGAATTTGTTAAGCTGGTACAAAAAATGGATCGATAGGGATAAGATCCATTTTGCTTTGAAGAACAAAATCAGAAAAACCAAAAATTAAGCCTCTTAAACATAACCCAGCCATTTGTAGATACATTTTCCATTCTAGATCTGCTTGTTGAATACAAAATTTGAGTCAAAATAGTTAAAAATATCTGAATTTATGAATGTTCAGTATAAGTTGACTTAACTTTTTTTGACAGTAAATTTCAGTATTGAAATATCTGAGATGTTACCTACCTTATTTTACCACCGTATGCCACAGTGTGGTTCTTTTAAGACTTAATATTGGTCGCACTTGATCCTTTTGAGATAATGTAGAATCACAGTACTGCAGTTATTCATATATAAAGTTTAGGCATAAAACGGAAGATAAAACTTCTTGTTCTCTTGCAATTCCTCTCATTTCAGACCCAGTTTATCCGGTAAATAACCCCGCCGGCTGTTATGCCAATGGTCAGATCCAAGCTCACGGAGACCGCTGGCGAGAGGACGACTGTACTTTCTGCCAGTGCATCAACGGAGACCCACACTGCGTTGCAACGGCCTGCGGGCAGAGCTGTCTGAATCCTGTTAAAGTCCCTGGGGAGTGCTGCCCAGTGTGTGAAGGTAAGATTGGTGTGCCCTCTTCTACGCTTCGGTCTGTCATGGCTGCCGCTTACCTGCTAATTCTTCGTTTACTTTAAAACTTTGGAGGGTTGAAGTAGCTGGTGCAGCATTGCCTGTGATTGAATAAACTAGTGAGGGCGGAAGACATAAGCGTGGTTTAACTGCACCTCTGTGTGGCAATACCTGATACTCTTTTGGCTCAAAAGGGTATAGTAAGAGATCATTTAAGATCAGCATTGTTCACTGATTTTACTCTTAGTGTTGCTAGAAGCTTATTATTAAATACAGGAGAAGTTAGAATATCAAAATGTTCATCGGCTGATATTACTGATAATTGGATTATTCCTGGTTTCCTACTCATCAGTGTTATTTAGTTAAAATTAAAAATCTCTTGGCACAATATAGTTTGATACTGGACAAAATTATTGAGTGAATAAAACATGATTATTTCAGTGAAACTTACAAAGGATGGTGTTATCTGGGGTAAATAATAATCATTATTATTTAGAGTTCAAAATGCAATTTTTCTTACCTTGTGGAAATAACATATATCTTGTATAACTGACTTTTTAACTTAACTGTATGGTAAATGCTTGTCCAGCCTGGCAATGGAAATGTGAAGATTTGCAAACTGAGACATTAAAAAAAAATTGTATATATGTATGTACATTTGGAGTTGCTTTTTATGGAGTAGCTGTTCATCATGAAAAACACCAGATTGCTAAGGTTAGAAATGGTTAATCTAGACCTGTCTTCAGAGCCATCTTCACAGTGTATAAACTCTTGTGGGTGCTCAGTGAGCTACCACTTACATCTTTCCTGTTCCACCTCTGATAGAATGAAATTAATTTTGTGTAACTGCGTGTGTCTTGCGGCCCTTCTTGGGTTGCAGCATCCATCTAAGTTCACTGGGATACTTACTTTTTCAGATAAATCTGAGGAGCATAAAGATTTCTTACAGGTGCTCTTTCATTCCAAAATTCACATCACAAGACGCAAAGGTGTCTGATAATCTATAAAAACTGCTAGTGAATTGTAGAGAGTTGCTACTTGCACTGAATTAATTTTATGATGAGGAAGCAGGTTAACTGCTTTTAAAACCCCAGTGATCCCCTCATGGTGGATATCACAGAGTATGTGCTGTCGTCCATCATTATTTAGTATGTATGTGAGCAAGCTTGGGAAGGTAGTACAGAGAGGTAGGTTGATGGAAGTATTTTCAGTATGTTAAGGGTTTGGGTTTTTTTCCTCCATTGAGAAAAGAATAGACAAATGTCTCTGTTTTCCTGTTCCAGATTGGAGAGAATGGAGAGAAATAATTGGATTAAATGCTTATCTATATGAGACCGAGATAATTATGATGAACACAGGGTAGAGTGTAGACTCCCATCGTTCATTACTAAAGGTTGCAACGCAGCCAAGATGGTGCTTCATTAACGTACCACGCTAATGCCTCCACAGTGCTTTCACAACACAAGTTACCTCATCTGGACTAGGTTAGGTAATTCTGTGCTATACCGTGTTTTTACTCTTTAGAAGCAGAAGTAGCTAGCCACTGCTTAGTTCGTGCTAGGAGGGGATTTGAGCATACTCAGGCACCTGTGGTCAGAAGATACCTGAAAACACGCTTGAATCCTCTCTTCTTTCTTCCCTTCCCTCCCCCACAGCAAACAAAACCAAATAAAACAGATGATTATGCTCCGTAATGCCAAGTTATTTAATTTTAGGATCTTAGATTTGGGAATATTTCAAGGATCAAAAATCTGGACTCTAAAACTCAGCTGTGAGTTCAGATGTTAGAACCCAAGATATAAAATATATATTTTGCAAGAAGCAGCTTCAGATGATTTTGAGAAATTACGTCAGTATCTGAGACTTAACAATTTGTCTTGCAATAATAATAATAAATAAATCCCTGAAAAAATGAACCAACCAAGGGTATCAGTAAACGTCCTAAAGTTATATTTTAGGGCATCAAATGAGCTCAAGGCTGCTACGCCTTGTAATTAGCAACCCAAATAAAAATATTTACATATATTTGAGATCAAGGTATTACCAGATTTGAAGTTTGTTAATTAAGGAGACTTACATGTCTTGCTGAATCTGTTAACATCTTTCTTTGAAAGCTTGCATTAAGAAAACATTAGGAAAAAATAATTTGTTAGATGTTGGCTGTCTGCATACTGTATATTTCTCAATTATTTTTCAAAAAAGTAACTGTTTGAGCTGATAACAGCAGGGACTTGTGCATTAACCATAGACATATGGCCCACCTCCAAGGTCAGATAGTATCATGTGTCTTGAGATTTAAATCTGAGATTAATAGTGTTTCTACTTCCTGGCTGGGAAGCTGGCTGACAAATCAATCCCTTGATTTTAATGTTACCAATGAAAAAGATGTACAACACATTTAGTGAAGATCTAGAAGCAATAAAATATATTCCAGGCACAGTTTTTCCTAAGAGAAATTAAATGCCTTCAGTGTCAGCCATATGATGCTTTTCTGCATACTACCCCATTAAATCTGCGTATCTGTAGCTTAACCTTAATCTTGCAGTGTAGTGTATGAGCAGAAGTGTCAACTGAATGGAAGCTCAGACTTTACTAACGTTGCACGAAATCTTAGACCCATTGTCCTGTGCTCTCCAGTCTGTGTTCCTTTTTTTCCATCCTTCTGCATCTTCTTATCTCCTACTGTTCAGCATAGAACACCAAAATCCATATATAGTGTGGGCTAAGTTCTGGGATCACTGACACAATATAGTATCATATTTTCAACTGTGCAAGTTATTAGAGAAAGGGATTCATCCAGAGTAAATGGTTATTAGTATCAGTCACTTCTGACTTTCCCTGCCCTGTCTGCCATCTAAATGCTGCTGTGCCTACAATTCTGCCAATTCAGTTATTTCCTGGCTGGTTTATAATCAATTTCAGTGAAAGGAAATATCTATTCCAGTAGATAAGTTTACATTCCTAAAGCTGCATAAAGATAAAATTGTTCTTGGATTACATTTTCAAAAAATTTTGCAGTCAAAGAATCAAATATAATGTAGTAGAAATTCTGTGAACACAGGTTCTTGAAACATCAGCACAGTAGGTCAGCACACAAATGTATTCAGCCTATTAATGCAGTAAATTCAGACTGAAGTAGAACATTCCTACTGTCCCATGAAGAAAATCCTGGTGTTCTTACTACAGCAGTGAGAAAATCAGAGTGCAAGGATTGTGGAGACTGAAGTCATATAGAAATAGCTGTTGACAGCTTTCTAAATTAGAGATCAAGGAGTAGCAATTGTGATATGTAATGTTACCATTCAGAATTGATTTGTATCAGTTTTCCACTGTAAACCCTTTTTAATGCTTCTTCACACGCTGCTGTGTACTTATCCATAGTGTGTATCCTGTATGTGTGTATGTAACCCACAGGGTGCACATTCCAGTGTTGATTGGACAACCAAATTGGTTTGAAATGTGTAATTTTCTGAACACTTGTCTGGGGTTTGCTGGACTTGGAGAAGAGGGTAACTCTTCAGCTCCCCTCACCCCTTCCATACCTGACTCTTGTCTACCAAGGGTAGAGGGTGAGTGAGGTGCTCAAGAGCTTTACACTGGAGCTCATGGGGGAGATTGGCAGGGAGGAAGAGGCAGGAATGTGGACAACAGGGGTATGTATGGGTGTAGTGCACTCCAGTACAATGGGTTTGTATATGGATTTAGTCTTCAAATCTGTGGGCAGCCTTTCTTGAGATGCATTGTGGCTGCTGTCTACTAGTATCTGCGCTGTGTCCAGCTCTGATGTTTTGACTTGCTCAGATCGAAGCTAAAGTCACTTTATCTACAGAAGACAAAGGTAAAAAGGGCAGCCAGCATCTTGGAGAGCGGAGTATGAATTTGTATGTTTGTTTTAAAGCAGAGAGTTGACAGCAAAATGTTGACCAAATTCAACAAGGGAAAATACAATACACTTGGGAGAGATTGTTCGTGAGTTCCAAACCAGAGTAATTGTTAAATAGCAGCTCTCCAGGAGAAGTCTGGTGATTAAAGGGAGAGAAAAAGTTTAATGTGGATTAACAGAGCCTTGAGAATGCAAACACCGTGCTGACATTACGATCAAGAGTACACTTTGCAAGACCTGAAGTAATCCTTTTTGCTCTCTTTCCTATGGGTGGGTATGTCCCTAGCTGACACGGTAAGTAGGCCCTTGGTCCTTTTATGGACATGGTTCATCTGAAAGAGATGCAGGCAGGCTGGAGGGAGTCATGAGGAGAGCAATGAGCGCAGTCCAGAATTTGCAAAATACGGCCTAGGAAGACAGACTGAATAAATTGGGCTGGTTTAACTTAAAGAGAAAATTATGAAGTTAGAATAAGAAGATAATCAGTCTTCAAGTGCCTGAAAGGTTGTTGCAAAGAAAAAGATAGAATGAAATTGAATTGCGAGAGGGAAGATTTGTTTTAGAGGAAAGCAGAAAGTTGTTGAGGAAAGAACAGCTCCTCCTGTGGCATGTCATGACTAAGGTTGTCTTTTTGATGCATTCAGCCTGTCGCAGTTTGTATTTTCAGTCTCAGTGGAAGGAGATTCACTCAGAAAATTGCATACATAACTGAAAGCAGTAATAGTAATTCCTGTGTAGTGTTCATGCAAGTGATGGCTGTGGCTCACTAGTATAGCTGGTGGGGTTTTTTACGTAAGCACTGAAGTGATCAAAGGCCTTTTGGCAAGACCTCTTGTCACAGAATGTCCACTCCTGTCCCTTCTTGCAAGGGGTGTATAGGTAAAAGCCTGAGGTGTGAGCAGGGAGCTGGCTAATTCGAAGCACCTGTGTCTGGGGGAGGAGGGGAAGGCAGAAGGCGAAGGTTACCGATGAGGTGAGAGACTGAGGCACATTGAGACAGTGTAGTGTGGAGGGGAACACCTTCCTTCATCAGCCTGTCCCCCCAAACTCAAGTTCTTCAGTTGACACAGCTTTTCAAGGTAGGCACCTCCTTCCACTGGTGAGA